GAAAATAAATAGAATTCATAGTAAGTCTCTTTGTTTAGAGTTGTACATATGTGTAATAATATGATTATTTGAATTGTATCATGTTGTTCTTAAATCAGTTAACATTGCATTACATCTCATAGCATTTATGATTGTATAAATGTCACTCTCATCCATGTCAATACTCAATGTTGAACAGCAGAGCAGTGTAGAGGCAAGTGGCATCATCAGGCTCATCTGTCTTATGAATCATCTCCTGTTATGACATCACTGAAATGTCATCTGACCACGTTACTATACTAGTCTCTCTGATTCCAACATCTGTCACAACAAATGTGGTCAAGGTCATGGTTTGGTAATAATCAGCCCATTCTCACCCCCAAGGCGTCACTTAACTGACGCTTTGTTAAGCATTTGGACATGCTTCAATATCTGACGCTTTAGGCGCCCTTTAGCGTCAGTAAGATGACGCCCTAGGATCGCGTGTACCCTACCCCCACCCCACACCTAAACCTAACCGCGTCCTCTAACTGACGCTTTCCTTTAGCGTCAGTTAGATGACGCCGTAGGATCGCGTAATGTAAGTGACGTTAAAGGGCGCCTAAAACGTCAAATATTGAAGCATGGTCAAAGGTGACGCCTTGGGGTGAGAATGCGTTGTAATAATTCATGTTTCTTTTTAAGGTAACACATTAGAATACAGTTTCTTCGTTAATGAATAACAAGAACCAATGAGTAACACAATATTAAAAATCTAGGAACTACTATTAACTTAAAAGAAACTCTGATTAACAAACTAGTAAGTAATAGCACACAGATGAAGGTGGTACTTTTCTAAAACTAATCCATATGAATAGAGCGGCTTAGTCCAAATTTTCTGAATTTACTGTAGGTTGAAAATACTGAATAGAAGATCAACCACTTGCTTGATGCACAAGAACAAACCTTATTGGTTCTCGCTGTTACGATTCTCTGTATTTGTTTTGTGTGTTTTTTTTTTTGTTTTTTTTTATATATGTGTTCTGGGATTGCCTGCCGTTGGAGGATAGCAGTATACATTTAATGTCCTCTGAAAATAACTCGACATACAGCCATTATTGTCAAAATAGCTGGCAACAAAAGTGAGTACACCCTAAGTAACATGTCAAAACTGTGTTCAAAATGTCAATATTTTGTGTGAGCATCATTGTTATCTAGCACTGCCTTAATCTTCCATTAGAGTTCACTAGAGGACACAGGTTGTTGCTGGGACCCTCTTCCACTCCTCCAAAATGACATCTCGGAGCTGCTGGATGTTAGACACATGGCGCCTATCCACCTTCCACTTGAGGATGCCCCACAACTCAGGTTTAAAAAAAATGGTGCTAAATAGCACTAAAAGTGGTTAATTGGCTTGTAATCATAGGGGAACCACATTAAGTGCTATATAGCACTTATCTTTGTCATATGGTGCTATGTAGAACCATAAGAGGTGCCATAGAGCACGTTAATCACCCCCAGAAAACCACTGAAGAACCACTGAAGAACCGGTGGTGCTATATAGCACCATGACCACCGCAAAGAACCTCTGAAGAAACTTTTTTTTTTTTTTTTAGAGTGGGGTTCAGGTCTGGGGACTTACTTGGCCACTCCATCACCTTCATCTTCAGACTCCTCAGCAAGGCAGTTGTCATCTTGGCGGTGTGTTTGGGATTGTTATCATGCTGACTGTCCCGGTTTCTGAAGGGAGGGCGTCATGTTCTGTTTGAATGTCACACAGTACGTGTTGGAATCCATGTTTTCCACAATGAAGTGCAGCTCCCCAGTACCAGCAGCACTCATGCAGTCCCAGACCATAATGCTTGACAGTAGGCAAGGCACAATTTTCTTGGTACTCCTCATGGGGCATTGCCACACATTCTGGACACCATCTGAGCAAAACAGGTTTATCTTAGTCTCATCAGACCACATGACATGGTTCCAGTAATTCATGCTCTTGGACAAGTTGCTTTCAGCAAACTGTTTGTGGGCTTTCTTGTGAGCCAGCTACAGAAGAGGTTTCCATCTGGGACAATGGCCATGCAAACCAACTGGACCTTCCGCTTTTGTAACCTCTAAAGCAATTCTGGCAACACTCATGTGTCTGTTTTTTTTTTTTTTTTTTTTTTTTTTTTTAAACCAAGCTTCTGCACCTGACGCACAGCACGAGGACTCAACTTCTTTGATTGACCCTTGCGAGACCTGATCTTGGAACCCGTCTTGGAAAACCTCTGTATGACTCTGGCATGTACTGTAACTCAGTTTCAGGGAGTTACCAATCTTCTTATAGCCTATGTAATCTTTGTGGAGAGCAACTATTTTAATTCTCAAATCCTTGGAGAGATATTTGCCATGTTGAACATCTAGTGGTCAGTATGAGAGAATTGTACTCAGAGCACAAATTTTAACTGCTCTAATAAATCAAGCAAACAAAAACATGAGCATGATGAATAGGACATGTGGCTTTGCATGCTTAAATAATCACTTAGGGAGGGTGTATTCACTTTTGTTGCCAGCTATTTTGACAATAATGGCTGAATGTTGAGTTATTTTCAGAGGACAGTAAATATATACCATACAAGGCACACATTGACTCTAAAATATATCCAAGTTTAATTCTATAGTATTGTCCCTTGAAAAATGTTTGCTGAAATGTGGGGGGTGTACTCACTTTTTGTGAGATGGAACACCTTTTTAATTTTGTAACAATGTAAAAATCTTTACTGTCAAGTTTGATCAATTTAACATGTCCTTGGCATTTTTTTTATTCTAAATATTACCCCAAATATTTGAATAGTGAATTTCTAAATTATATTGAAAATGATTAAAACTATTTTTGATAAAAAAAGCCCAAAAAATATATATATATATATATATAACATATTTGTAACTACAAACTGCAATGTTGCTATTATTCAGGCCAGTGAAAAAAATAATCAGTTCAAAAGTGACTGAAATTGATTTACATGTTCTATAATCATTCTCTGTGGCACTGAGAAAAAAACCTGTGGCAGTGTCTCGAAGACGGCCTCTCTTTAATTAACAAGGACAGTGGATGGCTTGGAGCTGTCATTCTTGTCTGGGCCTATAAATGACATTTAATACATTTAAGCCCAGCTGCGTATCTGCAAACATCCTTTCAGAGGATGTTTTCAATCGAACATGCTGCATACGAAAGCAGTTTGGGGTTCATCTTAGGAAATCACTCCTCCTCGAAGAAAATTGCATGGTGTGCTGGATAAACTCGCAGCTTATGTTTGTTTTGAGAGAAATGCTATCAAAATTCCTGCGAGAGCACTATATTTCTCTTTCAGGTGAATACACAAACACGTGCCATATTGAAAAGGACAACACTGTTACACTTACACACTTCTAGGTGAGAATACATTTAAAGCTTAAATCTTCATTCCTCACTTTTCAATGAAACAGATGGGCAATTTGACACAAAATAAAACATGAACAAAAACATAGAGACTATGTAAGAATCCTGTTGTGAAACATTGTGGTACTGCTGACAATCACTCATTTATAAGGACGTTTTGTAAAGATGAGTGACAACCAAATGCCCTTCAAACTAATGAGACTCTGACAATTACACTCCAGCCTGACACACTTTATGTATGCCGATTATAAATAATTAATCGCTACAAGTAAGCAAGCCTGTCAAGAAAATGTCAAGTCTCATTTGGACGTGAGGAGCAGCTTTGATTACCTTGAAATATGTAGCTCGATATATATATACAGTATATTTAGATGGTATCGCTTCCCTTCACCTCCGTTCGTGAAGTTATGACTATAGCTCCAAGTATAGCTCTTTTTTTTAGTGTATCTGGAGTCCTTTTATCAGTCCAGACCATTGTGGAAAGGGTGTCTGGGCTCTGTATAGTGTATGATAAATAATTTAAGCCTGATCTTTCCTTTCCTGCTCTCATGGAGAAGTGTGTGAGAAAACATCAACAAATAATGTGATCTGCTATAAGAGACACTGATGGTGAAGTATGGTAAACGTATACAATAATAAAACACTTTTTTCACAGAAAAAGGGAAATACATTTTCCTTTAAACTAATAATATTCAAGGTAACATTTTATTTTGATGGTCTACTTTAGACAGTCTGTTGACTACAATTAACATTGCACCTACACACAGATAACTTTTTATTAATGTATATGTCTAGACTGTCTGCATAATATCTGCTAACACTTTATTTTTATGCCCCCAACAGACATTCTACTGACTACAAGTAACTTTGCAATTATATCCACTTATTCCACTAACCCTAACCCCTTATTCTACTAATCCTACCCCTACACATAAATAATCATCAACTAATACTCTAAAGAGTGTTAATTACAGTCAACATAATATCTAAAGGGACTATCAAAATAAAGTAAATCCAAATTCAATTTCAAATAAATTTTAAAATTAAGGAAAAGGCATATTAATACACATATGCACATTAGGGACATTCCATAGACATAACCGTTTTCATTCTGTACAAACTGTAAACTTTATCCCCTATACACTAACCCTAAACCTACCCATCACATAAATCTTTCTGCATTTTTACAGTCAAAACCCCTTATTCTTTATTGTTTATAATATGGTTTCCTCAGGGGACCAAAAAATGTTCAGACAAGGACAGGATTTTGGAAATTGCCATCTTTGTAGGGACTAAACCCACCCTTCACACAAAATGTTCTGCATTTTTACATTTCAAAAACAAACATCACAGTATGATTAAAATGCATGCATGCTCACACAAACACACACTTCATTTAAAAAAAAAAGAATTCTGAATATTATTAGTGTCATTTTTTACGAAATTATTCATTTAATATTTTTATGAAAATATTATTTTTTCAGGATTCTTTGATGAATAAAAAGCTTAAAAGTACAGTCTGTTTTCAATACTTTTCTTTTCAATACATCTATGCTGAATAAAAGCATTAATTTCTTTCAAAATTCTAGTAAACATATCATGCACATATTTTATTCGCTGATCTATCACCCATTAATAACAATGTAGCAAAGTGAACTAGTTATACTTGGCCATTAATAAAATATAACTTGGATCCGGTTATGCTAGCAGTGGGAATATTCCATATCTGTACGAGCATTTGCTGGCATGTGTGGCAGTAAATTATCAGGCCTAAGGACATCTGTACCCCAGGAGCCCAGGAGATGCTTACTGTGTCAACAGCCTTGTGCAGCAATGTCACCACACATCACACCTAAGCCATTACCGGGAAAATGACTGGTCAGGTTCCCTCTGATCAGAAGCGCATGATTTTCTGTCAAAGAGAGAAGGGAAAGAAGTGGAACACTGCTGAGACTTTTAGTGCTGAAATAAAATATACAATCCAGAATTTCTGAAACAAATGCACAGAGCAATGTGGCTGAATTGAACTAAAATATTAACATCACTGCATGTGTGAAAAAGAGGGTTAAAAAAAAAAAAAATCCAGGTCATTCTGAGTTGTAAGTAAAAGAAATAGTGTGATAGATTATGTCCCATAATGCTTTAACCTAATTCCCCCCATCAGTTTGAAGCTCAACCATTAGAGATGAAAGGAGGTCAGGGGTTAATTATGGATTCCTTCCCCTGCCAACACCGGACCTGCCACCAGCCCCTCATTTGTCTGCGCTTTGATATCAGCACAGTTCACTTCATCCATGAAAAGACACTACCCATCCCAATTTAACTGAAGAGACATAGACACGAATATCCAGTGAGAAAGATTCAATGTCATTGCTATTACAACACATGAACACATATTCCTACTGCACAACAAATATTTCCCATTTTTCTTTAAACAGACCCTCATTTGTTCCTAAATAATAATAAAAAAGAATCATGTAAAAAAAAAAAAAAAAAAAAAACGCAATCGTGATACTCAGATCCACGAACCTGTGTCGTGGTCAGAGGAGGCAGAATCACGACACACCTCTTTCAACTCCCAGAGATATCCTTCCTGTCCAGATCCAATATAGCTACCATATCTTTACTATTTGTATTATTTGAAGTTAACATTATAAAATGCATAGACCTACACCGCAAAATTAGTTGAGGATAAATTATTTAATATTGGGCGATTCCAGCGTTATGGATGTGACATTTGCAGTCAAAACCTGATATATAAATTTTCAGAAAATGCATTTAGGCTATTGAAACCTCTGTTTATATATAATACTCCATTAATAAATGAGATCAGACATTAAAAAATATATATAACATGCATTTTACATTTAATATGAGGAAAATACACATGAGGGACGTCAGAGAAACAAAAAAATATATATTTTAGAAAGCACTGAGCCTTTATTTAAAGTTAATTTCATTTTGTATTAATTGTATCTTAATTTTAATCAATGTTTCATCTACAAATTACCTGTATTTAATAAATAAGTAAATAAAGAGCTCAGATGCAAAAGCCTCTAAGTGCCATTTGAAATTTTCTTCTAGAATGATCATTTTTATCAAGCTTGTATATTTAAGTTCAGTGATTTCACTTAAATGGCAATGATAATTACCTATTAATTGTTATTTAAGTGAAATTACTGAACTTAAATAAACAAGTTTGACAAAAATCATCATTAAAGAAAAAAATTTCAAATGGCATTTAGAGGCTTTTGCATCTGAACTCTTCATATATAGCAGACACTAATCAAGACACGGAGGAGCCGGCACCTGAACTGCAACTCGTCTCATAAATGAACCGAAACTCAGTGTCTACTTGCCTCACAGATGTGAGATATATATATATATATCGCCTATATATACTGTGAAATGTTTACTGTGTGTTCATGTTCTGAAGATGTTGCTTCACAGTAACCTTTATTTAAAATCTTCAGTCCATGATTGTTGGATAATAAAACTTGCCACTGAATTAGTTTAGTCCAACATCTCTCATAAAGGTTTGCGACTTAGTTTAAATACTAAAATATTATCTGAAAAACATCTAGCTTCTTCGCTAAATCACACAAAATACCATTGGTATGCTACTTTCGCCGCCTGAATGGAAGTTGCACCCACTTTATTTTTTACAGTAGCGCTACCCGGAAACAGGTGGATAAGCCTGTTTTTTTTTGTTCTTGTTCATTATTTGCGAAGTCTTGTTTAGTGTTTTTACTGCATTTCTGAAGTCCTGGTTTTCCCATTTCCATCTCACTCTCTGGATTTATTTGTTTGATTGGACTGATTTACTGTGCTTTGACCTCTTGTCTCTTTTCATCTATGATTGTGGATTACCCTTTCAATAAAATTGCACTTGGATCCTCAACCTTCTTGTCTCAGAGCAGCTTGTGACACCTTGTCACACAAGGTTTTTGTTTTTCTCTTTTTACATGAGACCACTTCTACTTCTACTTCAACAGAACATTTTTATGTGTTTTGGTTGCTCATTTACATGACAACAGCGTTTTTGTTATGATTACGTTTGATCTGTCTGCACCTGTTCTTGTTAGTCCTAATTAGTTTAATCTTTCTCTACATGTGCCTGTTTAGTTCCCTCATTCACCTTTTGTATTTAAACTCCCTGTTCAGTTATATCCTTTACTGGTTATTGTTGAATGTCAAAGTAATTCTTCTCAGTTCCACACTCTAGCAAGTTAAGGTATTTTGTCTCTGTAGGCCAGTATAATTGGTTGTGTTTCTTCTGTGTGTTATATCTATCTTGTGAGAGTTTGTTATTTTGAATTAAAATTCATCGAAGTTGAATGCTGTATTTAGATAACACAGTCTCATCCCAAGAAGTCATATAACTGACGTCTTGGGACGTCTTTGGACCATACGTAAACATCCGCCTTTTTAGGGTACTTCGGTTACATGTCGATCCCGGCCGTCATACAAGTGACGCTTTACCTTTAACGTCAGTTAGGTGAAGGGGTAGGTTTAGGGGTAGGGTTAGGATCCGATAACGTCATCTACGGTACCCTAAAAAGGCGGATGTTGACGTATGGTCAAAAGACGTCCCAAGACGTCAGTTATATGACGTCTTGGGATGAGACTGCGCTGATTTAAATCATGTCACAACTCATCTTTGGTGCAACCAAACTATGACACTAACTGTTTTTTAGTTATTTCAATTAATGCATTATCTAATAGGATCTTAACTTAAAGCGCTACCTACTTTTTATAGTTTTAGCGGTACCACTTAAATTGTTAACATATTTTTAATTACAAATTGTTATTTTGTTAACATAAGGCATTTACTGACAAAATGCAACTGTTGATTGTTACTTCATGTTGGCTCAGGTCCACTAAATAATAATATTAACAGATACAACTTTTGATTTTAATAAAGTAAAATATTAATTTTATAGATTATTCTATATTTAAATAAAATTTTGAAATTAAGATTAATAAAGGCTTTAGAAGTATTTTCCATTGTTAATACACACTAATGTTAATGTTACGATGTTGGATCTGCTGGACCAACTCACCTTGTCGTTGGAGAGGTTGGCCAAGATGGTTCGCAGCCTTCATGTTTCCTCACCGGGACCATCGCAGACTCATCCCGTCAGCACAGTTTTGAGCCCTGAACCGATCCCAGTTCCACGGCAAGCTCTCCTGGTAAAATTCGACGGCAAGGTATCACGACGAGCTTACGCAGCAAGGCCGAACAGTGGTAAGTCGCAGCACAGTGGTATGTCGAAGAGTTTGACAATCTTGACAAAGTTTGACAAAGGTGTTCACCGAACACCTGACAATCTTTTTCCACGGAGGGTTATCTGAACTGCTCCGTTCACTGATGCCCATCAATCCCCACGGTACTTTAATGCAGTATATTGACATGACCCTTTTACTGAGTGGTTCTGCTCTCACTGTGGGTAAGATGGAGAAGCAAATCCACAATGCCGCAGCATTCACCGAACCAGGGTCTAGGCATGTCACGCTCGACGAGCCAGAGTTTCACATCAGCCTCGACGAGCCAGAGCTTCACATCACCCTCGACGAGTCAGAGTTTCATGTCAGCAGTAGGCTCCCATGAAGGGACCATGAAGGTCATGCCGCCATGGTCTCCTGAGGGATCTTCTCTGCTGTGGCTGCACGAGAGGTCTTCACATCTCTGGAAACCTGAGTAAGCTCCACCCTGGCCTTCAGCCCATCCTGCTCCACCCTGGGTGCCGACTCTTCCTGCACCACCATGGCCTTGGGTTCATCTTGCTCCGCCCTTGTCACCGGCCCAGTCTGGGCCGCCCATGCTCTGCGGTCCAGTGCCGCCTTGGCTACCTCCTGGTCCCATTCCCCTGCAAGGGACTGGCCCTCCGTCCCTCTCCCAGGATTGTGGCACTGCCTTCCCTGGGACTGATCATGCACACAACCCTGGACTGATTACTCTCTCAACAGTTTTCATTGATCACTCTCACACCTGCTTCTAGTTCCACAAACAGCTCCACACACAATAAAAGCCCATCTCCCATGTGCAAAGTCTTGTTTCACTGTTGTGTACATCACCGAACGTTTCCGAGTTTTCAGAGTCAGTTAGTCCGAGTCAGTAATCCTAGTCTAGTCTGTTCCTGTCTGTGTATCCGACGCGTGATGAACCTGTTCCTCAATTGTCTGCTCCCTGCCTTTTGACCTATTGCCTGTTTCCTGGATTGCATCTCGTCTGCTGCCTGCCCTCGTCATCTCACCTGGTTTCTGATCCTGAGTATTGCCTTGTCTTGTCTCCTATGCTGTGTTTGCTGTCTGTGACCCTTGCCTTTCTGATTACCCTGTAATAAACTCACGCTGTCTCTAGTTGAATCATGACAGTTAAAAAATTGATCCTTATTGTAAAGTGTTACTGATTAATTTAATTTAACGATACAAACACAGGCACCAACAGTGTTCATTTGCTTTAATATACATTAAGGTCCTTAGCTGCAAGGCAAAATAATACATTCATGGGAACATTGCGAGAGAAACACTTATTTTGAAAGAAATCTGTATGAATATTGTTGTGACCCAATGCTGTGGGAAACATAAACCATGGAATGACATACTACAATGTATAATGAGTTGTCAATTCATTATAAGCTTGTTAACCAAGGTGTAAACACTGAGAAAAGGATTAGCGTATTTTCAGTTGAATCAATTATCTACAAGTGAATGCATATTAAACTGTCTAAAATCAGTTTTTGTGAGAAGAAAACACCATGGACAGCACATTCTTAAGCACACCGAACTGTAATGCAGTTCAGACAGTCTGCTGTGATGAGATATCAAACCCCAGCCAACAGCCAAGACTGGGATTCAAGAGAGAGCTGAATAAAATGTGACCTTTCAAACACCTTATGCATTCTGGACTGGATTCTGCATGAAAAAACCCCTCAGTGTATGACAAATTAAGTTGGTATTGTTAAAATGTACTGAATTATTAATAAACACTTCCATTTGAAGAAATGTGAAAGTTTGAAAGTACTTCAGTTTATGTAAATATGGGCTTTGGCATCAATTGCAAATGGTGTCAGAATAATGAAACACAAAAGCTGAAACAATTTGCATTCTCAGCAAATGCAGACTAAAATAACATCAGTGATTTGCATTTATTGATTGAGATAATCATCCATCAGAGATTAATTAGGATATGCCAAACATTTCCATTTTAATTATTGGTTTGCAAGCATTTCACCGGAAACAATCTTTAAATAAATTTTAAAAAAATGCATGCGAGGATGTATGAAGGGCATCCAAATGACAGCATGTTTAAAAATATCAGCCATATGACAGATTAATAACTGAAATAATTGTTTTAGCTTTTCATTATTTAATTATAATGATTTTCCCAACAAAGTTAATGTTTGTGTTCTAAAGAGCCAAAGCAAATTCAATTTACAGTATATTTGTCCTATGAAATTTACAGCTTATTTCTGCATATTTAACATTCATTTTTGTAATGAAATCTACCATTAGCACAAAGTCAAAAAGTGGTAACACAGAAAGACTAGAACACAGTTCCGGAAGGATCGACCTCCTACGTTTATAGCGCTCAGGGAAACGACAGGCTGACGCGCTTTCAGATCTGACGTGACGTTTCTGACAGAAAAAAAAATAATGGTGATAACAAAGAGTGGCCTCAGATCTGACAAACAATTAGATGTTATTACCCAGTTACAGTGAATAACCAATGTGCCACTCAAACCATTCCTGCATGCCCACTGGCAATACCAGCCAGCCACCTAATGCCAGTAGACAGCAGAAGCGCACATCAAGCAAAGCTACAAATTCATGTAATTGACAAAAGATAATGAAGAGTTAGAGAAGACATGTTAGGCGTCCTACTGCGCCGCTCGCTACTGTCAGTGTGTTTCTTTGCTATACTTTGCATGTTATTTATATGTACAACGGTATGTTTTTAGAGCAGGGATATGTCTAAATAGCATACAATCTGCAACTTGTGTTTGTGACCGTTATTAATTTTAGAGATATAGTGGATTGTTAGAGATTTTGTTATTTTTTATTTATTTTTTTTTATTTTTTTCTGGCTGGTTTGATCATTTGGTTGGATGACAAAGTAATTGCATAGCTTTTAATCAGTGCAACGTGTAAAAAAAAAACAACAACAGTGAAACAACACTTGGGTTAAACTTTATTTTAAGGTTATAGTTGCATTGTACTTACTCTAGATAGTAATGCTGATATAGTGTCAGTTACTTGTTATTATGCATAATTTACTGTTATTACTATAGTAAGTACATGTATACATGTAATTACAACACCTTAAAATAAAGTGTTACCATTTATTTTTTAATTAATTAATTAATTTATTTATTTATTTATTTTTATGTGGACCACTCATCCCAATCAATTTCTGAGCAAATCATGCTTCTCTGAGATCAGTAATATTAGAAAAGAAGGGAGTTGGTGTTCCAAAAAGAAGGCTAATTTCTGTTTGAAATTTAGAGGGAATAATTCCAAAAATTTCTCCTCTGGGCTCCATTAATGTTACACTCACTAATCAGTGCAGTTAAGTGCTTTGGCAGCACGGCCATTGTAAAGGGGAAAGTACAGCCCACGTGAGAGATGAGAGGCCGTAGTCAGACTCAGTGCTATGGCAGCCCTCTGATTTCCAGAACTTGCTGTACTTATCTAATTTCAAACTGTAAAATGTCATAACGTTCATAGAATGAATGTGTTGATTAATTAATGCATTTAAATCAATAAGATTAATAAATGTGCTCAAAGCATCATGCAACTATAATTGTTACACACAATTGTTACAATTGTACCAGTCACCAGTGACTAGTACCAAATTGGACCTCATTTTGCCTTCACAACTGCCTTAATTATTTGTGGCATAGAGTCAGCAAAGTGCTGGAATAACACAGTCTCATCCCAAGAAGTCATATAATTGACGTCTTGGGACGTCTTTTGACCATACGTCAACATCCGCCTTTTTAGGGTACTCTTAAACGTCGGTTACATGACGATCCCGGGCCGTCATAGAACTGACGCTTTATCTTTAACGTCGGTTAGGTGACGGGGTAGGTTTAGGTCTGGCTGTAAACATTCCTCAGAGATTTTGGTCCATATTGACATCATAGTTCCTCGACATCCGGGAGGTGCTCGATTGGATTGAGATTTGGGGATTGTGGAGGCCATTTGAGAAGTGAACTCATTGTCTTGTTTAAAAAAAAAAACAGTTAGAGATTATTTGAGTTTTGTGACATGGTGCATTATCCTGCTGGAAGTAGCCATCAGAATATGAGTACACTATCATAAAAGGATGGACATTACTGTTACTGTTGTCTTTCTATCCGATGGAACAAGTCTGGCCATTCTCCCCTGACCTCAAGATCAACACGGCATTTTCACCCACAGCATGCCACTCACTGGATATTTTCTCTTTTTTTCATACTATTCTCTGTAATCCCTAGAGATGGTTGTGTGTGAAAATTCCAATAGATCAGCAGTTTCTGAAATACTCAAACCAGCCCATCTGGCATCAACAACCATGTCACGTTCAAAGTCACTTAAATCACCTTTCTTCCCCATTCTGATGCTCTTTTTGAACTTCAGCAGATTGTCTCAACCATGCCTAAATCCACTGAGTTGTTGCCATGCAATTGGCTGATACATATATATATATATATATATATATATATATATATATATATATACTGTTGATTTGCCAACATCAGTTAAAATGCCTGAGTTTATTAGGGCGGCTAGATAATATAATATACTATAATATAATAGATAATATAATATACTAGATATAGTCAATATATGTTTTTGTTGTTGCTGCATTGGATAACATTGACAAAGAGTGATGTAAAAGTATTCACTAAGTTTACACTGGCAAAGTATGTGAGAGAAATCGGATTTCACAGTAAGTGATACAATTTTCAGCAGTAAGAAAAAAAGTATTTTAAATCTTGCTGTTTAGGGGGGAGTTGTGAACTCTTAGGGTTAGAGAGTTTGACTTGTAACCCAAAGATCATGGGTTCGAGTCTCAGTAGCGGCTGGAAATGTTGGTGGGGGGAGTGAATGAACAGCACTCTCTTCCGCTCTCATTACCCACAACTGAGGTGCCCTTGAGCAAGGCACCTAACCCCCAATCACTCCCTGGGCACCGTAGCAAA